TCTCCTGCAAGTCATAGTTAAGGATACCAGGGAAGAGAAGGAAGAAATTAAAAACGTAAGCTGGCTCAAGTGGTGCTCCGAACTGAACGAGCACACCTCCCTTGGCAAGATGTGGGCCCAGATCCGAAGGGCATCTGGGAAGGCAACACCACCACCACCAACTCATCCCAACCCAGAAGAGGAAGCCGAGAGACTTGCAAAACTGTTCTCTGACCGAGCAGCAACGAAGAACCTCCCGAGACAGGCGGAGGAGACACAACGGCGTCTGCGACAGGTCAGACTCCAGATGATCGAAGAGGCCTGCAACAGTGAAGATGACACTGACAGACCATTCAACCAGCAAGAACTCCAGAAGTCGCTAAAACGAAGCAAGGACACAGCTCCAGGGGCCGACAGGATAACCTACTCCATGCTTTCTCATGCCGGTACAGCCGGACACGAGGCTCTGCTGCAAGCCATCAATGCTTCGTGGACAGCACAAAGACTCCCACCGGAATGGAAGAAGGCAGATATACAGCCCATTCCGAAGCCCAGAGAACCAGACAAACCGAGGCCCATCTCCCTTCTCAGCTGCATAGCGAAGACGGGAGAAAGAATGGCTCTCAACCGACTCAAGTGGAAAGTAGGCAGCCCACACCCTCACATCTTTGCTTACACCGAGAACACCGGCACAGGCAACAACATCGCCGAGATACTCAGCACAGTGGACAACAAACCAGCTCTGGTGGTCTTCCTCGACCTGGAGAAAGCCTTCGAACTAGCAAATCCCTTGGCCATTACAACTACGCTCGCTAAAAAAGGCGTCAAAGGAAGGTTGCTGGGGTGGATCCAGAACTACCTCACACAGAGAGAAGCACGAGTACGCTTTCAGGGAGCAACCTCAAGCTACAGGGTCCATGAAAACGGAACCCCACAAGGAGGCATCCTCAGTCCAATGCTGTTCAACGTCCTGATGGAAAATCTAGTCAAACTTCCCTTCAGACAAACAGCCAAGCTCCTATGCTATGCAGACGACTTACAGCTTATAGTAAGAGGATCGAACAGACTAGCCAACACGCAACACGCACTCCAACTTATAGAAGAGGAGTGCAACAGACTTGGACTCAAGATAAATCCAGCCAAGTCGAAAGCGATGGCCATCTGCACAGACACACCAGACAAGATGCTCTCCATACAAAACACGCCGGTAGTCTGGACCAACGCCCACCAGTGTCTTGGAATCTGGTTTGACCAGAAACTCACCTTCAAGCCGCAACTCGAGTATCTCAGGCACAGGACGAAGAGCAGACACAATATAATGAGGTCGCTCACCAGCAAATCCGCAGGAGTAAACCTTCATGTGCTCAAAGCCTACTACACGGCCGCCATCAGATCGCTGGTAGATTACAGTGCTCCATCACTCATTGGACTGAGAGAAGACCAAATAGCTAAGCTAGAAGTCATCCAAAACAATGCTCTCAGGACCATGCTCGGAGCACCCATGTGGACCAGAATTTGCAATCTGCAAATGGAAACCGAACTACCACCCCTGGCAGTACGAGTCAAGCAGGTGACAGCTGGTCTCCTCGCCAAAATCTGTAGAGCAGACAAGCCCACAGTTGCCAAGATTCGAATCAGCGCCTCCCTCCACCTCGACCACAGAGTGCGAGGGGCCACCTGGTCGCACGAGGCAAGCGAGGTCATCCGACACCTGCAAGCAGAAACACTCGTCAAGAACAACCAAGACACACGAGACAATGGTTACACTGTTCCTCCACCATGGAGCCCTCCACCAGCCACACTCAAATTCACCGACCTAGGCGATAGTAAAGCCAACCTCCAGAAGGAGGACCTCAAAAAAATAACTCTCCAAGCCATAGCCACCGAGACACCGGCTGATGCAGCATCATACTTCACAGACGGCTCGGTGGACCCAAAACATCATAGATCCGGAGCGGCCTTCTACACCCAAGGTCAGACCCTCCAATGGAGACTTTCCAATGACTGCTCCACCCTACAAACAGAACTGATAGCAATCTCAAAGGCCCTACAACACGCTGCAACACAACACAACAAGTCGATCATAATTCACACGGACTCGAAATCGGCCATGCAGGCGCTGCAACACAGTCAACCAAGAGACAACGTCCACATCATCACCTCGATCCTCGCACAGCTACAGGAATTCCAAAGCCAAAACCGACCAGTCGTCTTACACTGGATTCCCAGTCATGTAGGGATCGGAGGAAACGACGTGGCAGACGAAGCAGCCAAGGCAGCTACACGTTCTAGTAGCGTACACATCCAAGTTCCAGCAAGTGTGCAACAGATTAAGAATCACCTCAGAAAGACTAGCAAGCTCCACATCAAAAAGAACTTCCTTCATGCACTCAACGCTGGTTCCCAATCAGCCAAATGGTACCTGGCGGCCACAAAAGGGGAACCACCTTTCGCTGACAAGAAAACTCCAAGACAAACCCAAGTCAGCCTTCATCGACTACGACTAGGGTACAAGTGCTCCTGGCAGATGATCGGAAATGACGTCATGGATTGCACCTACTGTCAGGAGCCAGCAGCCAACCCACTTGAACACTATCTCCTCGATTGCGAGGTCACACAAAGCCTCCGAAACAGAACTCAAATCTCCCAAGAAACACACACAACACCAGCGGCCACTCTAACCCGAAAGGCCCATACAGACCACATTCACCACCTACTCCGGGTCATCACACGATACCCACCACCCAGATAGCTTAGAAAGCATCCTCTCCCAGCAAGTGCGGACCCCAGTTCGGGGGGCGCGCCACTCCGAAGCTGACCACGTCCAAGAGTGGGGGTTGGTGGTAAGCGTCCACTGATCGGGGGTCCGCTCACACTTGCAACCTGCAGTATCCTTCCAATCTGCAGGTGGGACCACCTCCAATCCCAATCCGGTCTGGCTGCTCCTGGAGCTCCAGCCGGAACCACCAAACGGGTCGCCTATAGGCAAAGGCCCGTGTCGGACTACGGTCCGACAATCTCAACAACAACAACGGTAGGATTAATACCCAGACGTGTGGATGATAGTAGCTTCTCCATGGTAGGCTTAGATGAGTCAAGTAAATTGAGGTAAATAAAACACTTGGTTGGTACATCCAAGCTTTACTTGACTCATTTCACTACATATATGAAATAACACAAAAGCAAATGTAAAAATTCAGAGGAAACAACAATGAACATAATGGTGGTATTATCGTAATAATGAAATAAACTAAAATGATACTTACAAACAAGAACAAAATAATATTACAGTATTTTCCATAATGATATTTTAAAAATATCACAGTGTGTATGTTGACAATGAACTTAACTTCTCGGACCATTGTGAGAAGAAGGTAAATCAAGCAACGAAACTAATAGGTTTTATAAGAAGTTCATTTCGATATCTGGATGGTCCATTGCTTGTCACGATCTTCAAGAGTGAGGTGCTTCCCCATCTGGAGTACAGTCACCCCGTCTGGTAACCGAGGTATGCTAGAGATTGTCAATTGATTGGAAAAGTCCAAAGGAAGGCCATCAGACTGGTGCTCACTCTACGGAACCTCAGTTACCCAAAAATTGAGCACCTGCAACTACCTAGCTTATATTACAGAGGGCACTACTCGGTCGAATGTTCATACCTGGAGCTGGTGGACGTCCACCCCACAAGGGGTCACAGCTCAAGGTTGAAGAAGCCACAAGTCGAGAAAACTGCGAGGTGTCATGCCATGTATTGCAGTGTTGGTGAGGGCCAAATGGCACACAGAATTACTAAAGATGCTTTAGGGTTCAGTTTTAATCTGATAAGGCCCTCATTAATTAAGTGCAGCTTTGGTTCAAGGTCTTGTGAAAGCATACAACAATTTAATAATTGAATGGATAAAATGTATATGTACAATATAAAATATGGACATAGGATTGATTAACTTAATATAACAGTACTTTTAAGTTTTGGGGAGTAAAGGTAATAAACAACAATGGAGCAGGCTCGTTGACTGCTTCAGAAGGAGGGTTAGGGTTCACATTTCAAGATTTTACATTCCACTTATAATGAATGAAGCTAATTTACTGTGAATAATAATGTCAGTGTGGCACTTTGCACGACTAACTATCAATTAATATAAACTAAACTCATGTACATTTCGGAAGATCATAATCTGGATATTGAGCATTCAAAGTTCCTGGTTCATCTCTTTAAACAAAACTACAGTCACAACAATTTAATCCTTAAACTCTCAATACTCATATATAACACGGTTACACAACCAATGGTCACCTAATCTAATCACTAGAGCAGTACTGATATACAAAACCTGAGTAAGTGGTCCGGACCATGTCTGACTCTCACCAACAGCCTGACTGAGGGATCCCAAACCTACCACTATTTAGCGTGGGACTTAATTTGGCTCGTCCTCTAGACAAGTCTCAACTATTTTTAACACATTTTCTCAATACATCACATTACATAGAACATCATAATTACAACAACATCAGAGACAATATCATCTTATACCAGCACACTTTACATTCAAAATCATTTAGAAAAGCTACTAAACCCAACCACCAAATCGAGTGTGTATGCCTACACAATAGGTAACCACTCGACTACTAGTAACAGAGGGCAAACTTTTTCGGAATGAAAGTTGTAAACTCTTAGAACACCCAAAGAGTGTTGTGTCGGCAGAGAATGTGAGCTCATTCAAGGCCAGAGTTGACCATCATTGGAACGGGTTCAGATACATTCAGGTGCCAGTGCCTGCCCAGTACTTGCCAACAGTGTCAACAGAGATATGACCGACTGCCCAAGTGGCTAACGAGCCGATCAGTGGCAAAGAGGATATTAAATTATCTTACATTTTATGGTAAACCTTAACACAAAATAGAAAGTTTGTTGAATAAAAAGCTGTTAAACATATCAAAGCATCCACCGAGATAATCGATTCATCACATTTATATGGAAATAATGGCAACAGTAGTAATGATATAAGAGAAGGTTATCGACCAGGGTTCATAGTCTAGTTACAAGGCACCCAGAGAGCTTCCTTCCCTCAGTCAGTCTTAACTCACCTCACCTCACCTGTACCAGATACTGCTTCTGCATTTGACCTTTACACAAGATAATATTTACAAGAAACGCAAACCAACCAAGATACTCGAGCAATACTGAAGATTTGTCTTGTTCAATTTTTTTTGAGCGAAATTTATCAGATATAGGAAGAAAAACTTTACTTCAGTGGTGTAGAAATAAGAGCATCGCCTTGATAATAGCTGGGGAAAAGATGGTGAAGCATGAGGTGACGATGGAGCCCACCAGAGCCTGTTGTTTATTGCTGCTCCTTGCCATCTGTCTGCCATCTCTCTCAGGTACATCTTGGGGTGTACAGGATGGTCTGGGTGGATGGGCATCACTAAGTCTGGGTGGGCTAAAACAGGTGGGTTAGGGTGAGTTAGCTCTGGAGTGTTTGGAAGAGCTGGCGTAGATGGCTGAGTGAATTCTAGGGGCGGCGGCACACCGGTCACTTTCCTCCAAACATGTTTGGTAAACACGATTGTAGTATCTTGCGTTATTTAATGGGAGAATGACAAGTCACATGGTCGGTCTAGCTGGAGCGTTTATTCTCTGTTGCTCGTTACTACGTGCCTAACACATTTCGTGTTTACACAAGCCGAAACACTTTCTGACTTTGGTAAGAAGTAACATAATATATAATATATATATAATCAATAAAGGCAGCATATAAACATATATATATATATATATATAACAACGATCTGGCAGAAAAACAAAGAGACGTTTTGCGTCACACTGGGAAGTTTTGTTGGCACGTCTGCCAAATGCAAGGAAAACAACAACAAAGCATCTAGACGAGGTTCGCCATGGATACCATTACTACAGTTGAGACCTTGCAGGATTGTGCTAAAATTCTTCAATTGAAGCAAGCGAGGCGTCTGCAAAAGCTAAAGAAAAGACAATGGGTGCATCATGAAGTTTCTTTAATAGTGGTGGCGGCTGGCTGGTCAAAAAAGACCATGAATAATGATTTAATAATATAAAGAAGGTTTAAAGTGACGAATAAATAGAATTATGTCACTATTTATGTGTTATATTTTAATTTATCATTGTTCCATGATTTATTTAAAATTTTACTTGAACTTATTTGAAGCTCATTTGGGCACTAATCCGGCTAGCAATGATCCCCGCCAAAACGTTGTCCATTTCTCGCAACAGCAGAACTCCTGCTGCTTGCTGGGCATTTAGGCCAACTGCCAGCAAAACGGGCAACATGTTTGGAGGAAAGTACCCAGTGTGCCGCCACCTTAAGCTATTCTATACAATTCAGTAGACTACAAGCACCAAAATATATAACATTACTGGGAAAAGTACAATGCGTGGCGACTGGAATTATTACTGAAATAAATCATACCAAGTAATTAAATTGGTTGAGGACCTTACGACTGCCAACTCTTGTCACTCTTAGAACAACCTGCCAGAGTGTTGTGACGGCACCGAGTGTGAGCACCCTCCACCCACTCAACCCCCCACCCGGGAGGCGGCACCAGCTCAGCCTACCGGACAGGAGGGAACGAGCGCCGTGTAAACAATGACATTTTTAACCACACCCTGCAAAATACAGTGTACTTAGCAAATGCTGCAGCTTCTGAGAATGTGGGTGGAGCGGGTTTATTACTAAGAGCAGAGACGTTACCGAGAACAAATTCTGGCTTGAATGTCATGTACACTAATACAGACACGTTCCTTGATAAGAGAGAGGAGTTTGAACCACTACTAAGGTCTAAGAGCACACCAACCAGATATTGTAGGAGTTGTAGAACTGTTGTACAAGAACAGGAGAATCGACCCAGAGGAATGTGAGTTCAGTATTGCTGGATATGACTCATTTACGAACCTAACTCAAGAATCCTGCAGGAGGGGTGTGGTTATCTACGCTAGGCAAGACCTTAGAGCCAGCCAGGCGAGGGTACAGGGAGAGGATGTTTTTGAAGAGTCCAAGTGGTGTAAAATTAAATTAAAGGGAGGGGACTTACTTATCGTCGGGTGTATCTACAGATCCCCAAACTGTGGCCCACTAAATCAAAGGAACTTAAGAACCTTAATAAACAATGCGGCGATGCTCAACCCTAGCCACCTCCTTATCATGGGGGACTTTAACTATGGCGACATCGACTGGAGAAACGAGTCCACCCCGAATAACTTGAATAACCGTGCTACTCTTTTTGTAGTGTTACGAACCCCTCCACCCAGCACTACGAAGCACGCCATCTATTGTCCTGATCTACCTACCCAGCACCACGAGCAACGCCATCTAGGGACGAGACACGAGTATGACTCGTCTTAGTTACCACTCCGAGGTTTCCCTTCTCCCTATCCTGGTTGTTGCGTCACCTCCTCAAAGTCTTCTTTGTCAGCTCCAATTCGAGGAGAGAGGACTTGGCTCTGGGAAGTGACCACAGGATCATCTATCCTCTAAACCTACGTGCAGTGACTACCTACCGTCTTCTACAATACTCAGCCTTACTCGTCAGCCATCTCAGCTCCTCACTTAAGTACTAGTATCTTGTATTAATTTCCCCACGTCCACTTGCTTCGAGATTGTTTTATGTTTATTAATATGTATATACTGTTAATGTTTAGGTTAAGTTTGGTTAAGGGTAATTTATAAGCTGAATATTTTGTTAAGGGATTTATGGTACTCTATTATATACAACGAAAACTCGCATCCTTTGTCTACCCTTTTATAGTCCGATTGTCTTTGTTTTTTTTTTATTGTTGTTACCTGTTGGGATCTGGGTAGACGTATAACTATATTCTAAATCCCCAACTCGTAACAGTAGAAACTCTGAGAGATAATTTTCTGTTCCAACATGTGAGAGACCTGAGACATTACAGAGGGGAGCAAACACCGAAGCCACTTGACCTCATCATAACAAACGAGGAGGGTATGGTGGCCAAACTGGAACACCTTGCCCCAGTTGGCACCAGTCACCATACAGTGTTGTCATTCAGATTTAACTGTTACCTAGTTCAAGATAAGGCCAGGCCAAGGTGCAAATATTACAAGGGAAATTACAATGGGATGAGGGAAGAGATGAGGGGTATCAACTGGCCTGACTTATTAAGGTACAAGAACGCAGACACTACGCTGAATATCATAACTAGTAAAATGACCCATTTGATCGATAAATATATACCCAAGACCAAACCCAGTGCTTCTAGGAATACGAGGGGATCCTACACATGAACCATGCGGCGGTCGACAAAATTAAGAAGAAAACCCAAAAATTCAAGACGTGGGTTGGGTCAAACGATGAGCAAGACAGGAGGATGTATGCAAGAGCCAGAAACCAAGCAAAGATAGAGTGTAGGAGGGCTGAAAAGGAGTTCCAGAGGCTGGTTGCACGCGAGGTCAAGTCAAACCCAAAGGCGTTTTACCGCTATGCAAAGTCGAAATTGAAAACGCGAGTAGGAGTATCAGACCTGAGGCTTGAAGATGGTAGTTACGCAGATTCTGACCAGGATAAAGCTGAGGCATTGAACAGCTTCTTTTCCTCAGTGTTCACAAGAGAGGATGCAACTAACCTTCCTGCGTTTGAGGACAGACGGTTCGACACAGCACTGACCCACATTGTGTTCACAGAAGAGGGTATTAGAAATAAACTGTCCAGGCTAAAGGTCCATAAGAGTCCCGGACCTGATATGGTGCATCCTCGAGTGCTAAGAGAGCTGTGCAACGAGCTTGCAGAGCCCCTGAAGATTCTGTTTTGTAAATGCCTGGATGAACAAATGGTCCCCAGTGAATGGAAAGTGGCTTATGTGAGTCCTATCTTCAAGAAGGGCGATAGTCGCTCCACGAACAACTATAGACCGGTGAGCCTGACCAGCATAATATGTAAAGTACTTGAGAGTATTATCAGAGATGCCGCGATGAAACATCTACTACGAAACAACCTTGCAAAAGATTGCCAACACGGTTTTATGCCGGGGCGCTCTTGCTTAACACAATTGCTCAAGGTATTGGATATTTGGACCCATATTCTAGAACGGGGTGGTAATATCGACAATATTTACCTAGATTTTGCCAAGGCTTTCGACAGTGTACCCCACGAAAGGCTGAAAATCAAACTGGAAGGGTACTGAATTCGGGGAAATGTCCTAGCGTGGATAGAAGACTTTCTACATGACCGCAAGCAGTGTGTGGTGATTAATGGCACGAAATCGTCATCTGTACCTGTAACAAGTGGGGTACCACAGGGCAGTGTATTGGGCCCGCTGTTGTTTGTTTGTTTCATAAATGACATGCCTGACGTTGTACACTCCTCCATACAAATGTTTGCCGATGATGGCAAGTTATTTCGGGAAATTAAGAACCAAGCGGACTGTGAAGAGCTGCAGAAGGACCTCTGTGGGCTCCAGGAATGGTCGAAGAAATGGCTGCTGAGATTCAATGTCACGAAGTGTAAGAGGATGCACCTGGGGCGTACCAACGGTAAGGAGGCGTATCATATGTCCCAACGGGATGAAGAAAATGCACTAGTTGAGACTGTGTGTGAGAAGGACCTAGGTGTGTATGTTGACAATGAGCTGAAGTTCTCGGGCCATTGTGAGAAGAAGGTAAATCAGGCAAATAAATTATTGGGTCTTATAAGAAGGTCGTTCAGATATCTAGACGGTCCGTCCCTCGTGACGATCTTCAGGAGTGAAGTGCTTCCCCATCTGGAGTACTGTCACCCCATCTGGTCCCCGAGATATGCTAGGGACTGTCAGTTGGTTGAAAATGTTCAAAGGAGGGCCACCAAACTGGTGCCTGCACTTCGGCACCTCAGCTACCCTGAGAGATTGGAGCGCCTGAACTTGCCTAGCTTATACTACAGACGGGCAAGGGGGGACCTAGTTGAGGTGTATAAGCATCTCAGGGGCACTACTCAGTTGAGTGTCCTTACTTGGAGCTGGCGGACGCTCGCCCCACAAGGGGTCACAGCTCAAGATTGAAGAAGCCGCAAGTCCAGAAAACCGTGAGGGCAAACTTTTTCGGAGTGAGGGTTGTAAACTCTTGGAACAATCTACCAGAGAGTGTTGTGACGGCACCGAGTGTGAGCTCTTTCAAGAGAAGACTTGACCAACACTGGAGCGGGTTCAGGTACATTCAGGAGCCGGTGCATGCCCAGTATTTGCCAACAGTGCGTGACAGAGACGTGACCGATCGCCCGGGCGGCTAGCGAGCCGATCTTTTGGTGAAGAATATAAATGAAAAGAGACGTGACCGATCGCCCAAGCGGCTAACAAGCCGATCAGTGGCGAAGAGGATAAAAGTAAAAAAAAAAAAGTAAGACCAGACTTGACCAAC